CATCTGAATCTTAAAGGGAATGCTTCTAGATCTTGCTCCTACACATCGCTGTTAGGTTACTTTGCCGGGATAATTTTTGTATTTTTGAATATTCCTCCTGTAGAGGGACAGGCCCGACTTAAGACGTGGATCGAGGAACTCAATCATCGGGCGCCTGTGGGAAACAATCGAGGCGGCCGGTGTGTCGTCAGTTCTGATCCGTAGGACAGCACTGGGCCTCGGGACCGTGAACCCTGCCTTTGGACTACTTTCCTTCTCTCCCCCCCCGCCCAAAAAAGCACGGCCCTGCTGAGGGGGCTGAGAGGTCCGGGGGGCCAGCCCTCGCATAGAACAAATCGCAGCGCAAAAACATCTGGGAAAGGAATCAGGGTGTCGAGCACATATACACCTGCACCGGTACCCAATGTCTTTGCTGGCAACAGAATAGTAAGCCATTTTCGTGCTGGACGGCATGCCCCCTGCGCTCCGCACGCACGCAAGTGCGGCAGCTGTGCGAGATCTCGTCAGTTCTGCCGTGTACGATCGATGCGCCCATGCGCCTGCGAGCGCCCCAATCGCCCACGGTGCCTTGCACACGTTGGGGCGCGTCAATATGCTACTCCGCTGTCTTGCAAGGTTTCAATCGTGTTCTCCAGGGCCGACCCCATTCCCTCGACGCACGCCCACCTCGAAAACCGCCACCCCTCAGCTCTGGAGCCGATTTGTTGCACCTCCCCATGACGAATTACTGTTTGAAGGAACTTTTTCCCCATATCCTAAGATGGGGTTCTTGTTATTACTTGGACGCCTCCTACTCCCCTTCTTCCTCCTCCTCTTTCTCCTCCCCTCCTGTCGGACTTACTCATACTCACACTTGCTCATACTCAGACTTACTCATACACAGACTTACTCATACCCAGATTTACTCATACTCAGACCTACTCATACTCAGACTTACTCATACTCAGACATACTCATACACAGACTTACTCATGCACAGACGTACTCATACACAAACTTACTCATACCCATACTTACTCATACACAGTATTACTCATACTCAGACTTACTCATACCCAGACGTACACATACACAGACTTTCTCATACACAGACCTACTCATACCCAGACTTACTCATACACAGACTTACTCATACACAGACTTACTCATACTCAGGCATACTCATACTCAGACCTACTCATACTCAGACTTACTCAACACACATCAGATTTGGAGGATTTCTCAGGCGGGGCGCTGGTTTCAGCACCCCTAAGGGGAGCCGCCAGGGGTGGTTGCACGGGCTCGTTCGCGGCCATTTTGTGGGGATGTCTCAGGCGGTTTGCCTGTTTCTGGGCCCAACATCCTTCGCTTGGAGAGCAGATTGTGAGGATGTCTCAGGCGGGGCGCTGGTTTCAGCACCCCAAGGGGAGCCGCCAGGGGTGGTTGCACGGGCTCGTTCGCGGCCATTTTGTGGGGATGTGTCAGGCGGTTTGCTTGTTTCTGGGCCCAACATCCTTCGCTTGGAGAGCAGATTGTGAGGATGTCTCGAGCGAGGCGCTCATTTCAGCACCCCTAAGGGGAGCCGCCAGGGGTGGTTGCACGGGCTTGTTCGCGGCCATTTTGTGGGGATGTCTCAGGCGGTTTGCTTGTTTCTGGGCTCAACATCCTTCGCTTTCGGAGCAGATTTGAGGATGTCTCGGCGAGGCGCTCATTTCAGCACCCCTAAGGGGAGCCGCCAGGGGTGGTTGCACGGGCTCGTTCGCGGCCATTTGTGGGGATGTCTCAGCGGTTTGCCGTTTCTGGCCCAACATCCTTCGCTTGGGAGCAGTTTGAGGATGTCTCGGCGGGCGCTCATTTCAGCACCCCTAAGGGGAGCCGCCAGGGGTGGTTGCACGGGCTCGTTCGCGGCCATTTTGTGGGGATGTCTGAGGCGGTTTGCTTGTTTCTGGGCTCAACATCCTTCGCTTGGAGAGCAGATTGTGACGATGTCTCAAGCGGGGCGCTGGTTGCAGCACCCCTATGGGGAGCCGCCAGGGGTGGTTGCACGGGCACGTTCGCGGCCATTTTGTGGGGATGTCTCCGGCGGTTTGCCTGTTTCCGGGCTCAACATCCTTCGCTTGGAGAACAGATTGTGAGGATGTCTCAGGCGGGGCGCTGGTTTCAGCACCCGTAAGGGGAGCCGCCAGGGGTGGTTGCACGGGCTCGTTCGCGGCCATTTTGCGGGGATGTTTCAGGCGGTTTGCTTGTTTCTGGGCTCAACATCCTTCGCTTGGAGAGCAGATTGTGACGATGTCTCAAGCGGGGCGCTGGTTGCAGCACCCCTAGGGGAGCCGCCAGGGGTGGTTGCACGGGCACGTTCGCGGCCATATTGTGGGGATGTCTCAGGCGGTTCGCTTGTTTCTGGGCTCAACAGGGAGGGAAATGACAGGAACGAGGATGAGGAGGAGGAACAGGAGGAGGAGGAGGACGAGGCGGGGGATCGTGAGGAAGGGCATGGGGGTGCGGAGGGGGAGGGGGAGCAGGAGGATGAGGAGGAGGAGCAGGAGCAGGAGAAGGGAGGGGGCGGAGGAACAGGAGGAGGAGGAGGAGGAGGGCGCTTTGCTCGAAGGTCCTTGACGCGAGCAGAACGTTTGTTCCGAAGTCCAGGACATATATATATATATATATATATATATATATATATGTGTATATATATATATATACACATATATATATATATATGTATTCATAGGGGGTGACTGCGAGGGGGGGGGGCGGTGGTTGTGTGCGGGGATCGTTGGAAATGCTCACCGTGGCACTATCCTCCAACATGACATGCACTTATGGCCTTGTGTGGCTAAACGCTCGTCTTACATATCCCACTGCCAACTATCCTACAACATATGCACATGTGGGAAGCTCCAAAGCTACCACGGGCTGAAAAGGGGAAGGCCTGGCAGCTGAGGAGGGGGGATGAAGAGGAAGAGGCTCGCATTCAACCGTACTCAAAGCTCACTCTGACTCATACGCAATCACTCGCATTAGGGGTCACTCGTCTTCGTCGGCCCTGTCGCCCACGTGGACGCGCTATTGTAGTCGACCGCTCATGAACAGACGCTCACCACGGCATGACATAAAACATGAGATGCACATATGGGGAGCTCCACGCAGTGAGTAATTTCCCTGAGAGACCCCCGAAGGGCGTAAAACCAGCCAGCGTAGCTCACAAATGCGCACAACAACCATACAAAACGGCTGGGACGGAGAAAAAAATCACAACACAACTGCCAACACTGCGTAAGCACATAACCACAACCGACAAGAAACGCCCCAGGAAAGCCTAGCTCGCCCCAAGACTGTCAAACTTCAAGGCGGTCCCAAGACTGCCCAACAAGGCCTCCAGACGCTATCAGAGGGCGCGGCCCAAGATGGCCTCGAGACGGGCCCAGAGGCCCCCAAGATGGCGCAAGAGGGCTCCAAGAGAACGCCCAGGAGGCCCTCCAGAGCAAACATAATTGTTTTTCCTCGGGGCTCTGCCAGGCTGAAAACGCACTGGCCCTTCCAGGCCTCCGAAAGCCCAAAGACAGCCCGACAGTGCCCCAAGAGGGCTTCCGGACGGCCGAGGGCGGCCCCAAGACGGCCAACGAGGGAGCCCAAGACGGCACAAGATGCCCCGAGCTGGCCCAAGAGGCCCTCCAAGAAAGCCCCAAGAGAGGCCCGACAGCGAGAAATCTAGCTGGTCTTGACAGCCTCTCCCTACAGGAGGATTGTCTCCAAGACCCCCAGCATGCCCCTAAGAGGCCCCCAAGGAAGGCCCTCGAGAGGCCCAGGAGACCCTCGAGAGGCATCCCAGAGGCCCCCCGTATGGAGCACCAAAGGCCTGCCCAACGGACCCCACAGGCTCCCGAGAGGCCCCCGAGAAACTCCGAGGCGGGCCTTGCACTCGACCTCCTTCACGCTGCCCTGCTGCGCTGGCGCGGTGGCGGGGCTCGCCCGGAGGCGGCCGGATCTGCCAGAAGGCTCTGGGAACAGCTGGCACAAGCGTCGAGGAGGCCCTGGATAGACCAGCAGGCTCTGGCTATACCAGAAGGCTCTGGGAACAGCTGGCACAAGCGCCCAGGAGGCTCTGGACAGACCAGAAGGCTCTGGCTATGCCAGAAGGCGCTGGACATACCAGAGGGCAGCTGCGGCCCTGGAGAGGAGAACGGGGCCACGCGGAAAGCATCTTCCTCCCTCCCCGCGCCCACCCCTCGACCTCCCCCCATGCCCCTGCCCTGGGCGCGCTCCCCGGCGGGTGGCGCGGCACCTCCAGGGAGAGGGCGCCCCAGGAATGCCCTCACCGCCCTGCGCGGGCAGGCGCGCGCGAGGCTGAGCAGCGCCAGAGCAGGAGCAGGCGCAAAAAGGCTCCTCAAAGAGGGGAGTGGGCTCGCGACTGCATAGGCAGCCTCGCGCAGACCGTGGACAACATGTCCTACGTAGCCACGCGGCCCCAAAGGAGAAGGACTGCGGCCTCCACGGTGTCGTCGTGGATCGCCTGGAGCGCTGCCCGGATCTGCCGGGTCACGCTTGGGAGTAAATGTGAACGTGCGCTGCCAGGATATGCTGGGTCACGCCTGGGAAAAACCAATGGAGGAAATACTGATGCGCGTTGCCTGGTTCGGCTAGGTCAAGCCGTGGTAAGAACTGATGGGGGTGAGCGCTGCCCGGATCTGCTGGGTCACGCTTCGGAGGAGAAGCTGGGAACCATGGGTTCGTAAAAGGTTGCATGAGGTAGGAGGCGGGAGGAGGAAGCAGGGGGTGGCGTGATGAAAGATGAAAAGGAAAGAGGCCTCTATACAGAAGGGCAGGTCGTGCGCCTTGGTGAAACTCAAAACCCGAACTGCGGCGACGTCCGGGTAACACGAGCCAAGTGCTCACACAAAACAGGTGCGGCGGCTGCATCCAACTTCAGGCCAGGTAATGATGAACCAGGAGACAGGACCGCCAAACACCTCGGAGTCGCTAGCCTCGTCTATCGCCAGGTGCACTCTCGGCAGCTGCATTCAGACTTGGCTGGAGACCTCCACGCGAGGGCCATCAGCGTGTTCCTTGAGGGCAACAAGAAACTGCGTCGCAATCCTGAGGTCTGTGCAGATGCCTCGGATCCGCGCTGGACCCCCTCCCCAGCGAGCCAGGCACGAGCCAGCGGCCGCGCCTGCAGGGGGCGGGGCGGCCACCGCCGATCCCAGAGACCCGCGCGGAACTCCGAGCAATTCTGTGCGCGCGTGCTGCTGTCCGCTCTTCGATCCTTACTATCGGCGACCTCGCCGCTGGGCTTCTCGTCGATCTCCACGGCGTCGTCGTCCGCGCCACGACCTGCGTCTGCCTCGCCGCCGCTCCTCTCGGGGATGCCGTCGGCCCCCGCGGCCCTGCCTTCGCCCATGTCGAGCTGGCCACGCACGGCGAAGACCCCGGCGACGCCGAACGCCAGCAGCAGCACGACGTAGCAAGCACTGATCAGGCCCGTCACGGCGTCGGCGTCCTCGCCGCCGTTGTCCGCGCCGACGGGCCTGGTAGCCGCCAGCAGAATGACGAGCAACAGCGTGGTCTGCAGCGCGTCCAGCACGTTCACCACCGGCGCCCTCCACGGCCAAACCAGGCACAGGGCTACCAAGTACACCACCATCACCACCGACAACAGCAGCAGCTGCGTGAACGGGTTGGGCAGCAGCGTGATTATGCTCACCGCCGTGGACCGCGCCAGAAAGCAAAGGCCCCAGTAGTAGGCGTGGGCCTCGAAGCGGAACAACACGAACTTGATGGCCTGCAGATGCTTGACCATGTCGGTCTCGCGCCACGCGGGCGACTTCTTCACGGAGAACACATACAGCGCGATGAACAGGAAGCAGGGCAGTAGGCCGAAGACCGCGAACACGACGAGCCCGACGTACGTCCCGCTCGAGGTGTCAATGTCTGGGCTGCTCAGCATGCTGCTGCGGTCACCACTGCCAGGGTGCGCGAAGGTGCGGAAGGGCCCGATCACGGTGAGGATGATTGTGATGAATGCGGCCTGGAAGAAGTTGCACACGGTGTTGAACGTCTTCGAAGTTTCCCACTGCCACCGCTCTGGCAACAATTTGCTCAGTACGCACAGCACGCTGAAGAGCGCAAACAAGAACCAAGGCAGCCCAACCTTCAGCGCATAACCTGCGATCACAGAAGAGCCCAGAGTGCACTCCGGTCTGAGCGCCCTGAGGTCCAACGCGAACAGCCGTGTCCCGGCGAAAAGCCCGCCAAGGCCGTCCGGATACGAGATCGACAGCGATGCCAACGCCGCGCACGACTGCAGCGTCATCACAAACGTCCCGGCGCACATCGCCAAGACCATGAGAGGCGACAACTGGCCGTTCAGCGGTCCGTTGATGAAGTAGTAGCTGGCCACCACCGCAATAAAGCCCGCCAGGGCCACAAGGACCAGAATAGCTGGCTCCCAGCCGTCGCACTTCGCGCAGGGGCCGTCGACTGTGGCGTACGAGCCTTCGGCACATTTCGCGCACGCGATGCCTTCGCGGCCGTTGTCGCACGCGTCGGCGGGCCCGCCTGGGCAAGGACTCACGTATCCCTCCTGACTCAGCTGCTGAATGCCAAGTCCATCGCACAGGTAGATGTTCAGCGCCAGCTTGTCCGAGGCCGAGCCCGCAGAGCTCTGGTAGCCCGCCGCCAGGTAGTAACCCTGGGCGACGGCCATGTTCGGTCGCGACACTGGGACGATGTTCACCTGGCTTGCGTCCGGCTCCACGTATCCGTGCAGCACGTGGTTCTCTCCCAGAGCGTCGTAGAAGGACGAACCTAGTGGGCACTCGAAACCTTCGGGGCACGCCTGGCAGATGGCCAGATCGTCCTTGGTCGCCACATCCACCAGAGACCCGCTGGCATCCGCGACCGTCAGCATGGGCGCGTCTGGATCCATGGTCCCCTCGAGGCATAGGCAGCTGGCAAGCAGCGAAGCAGACTTCTCGAAGGTGGTCCGACCCGATGGGCAGGCCTCGCACGAGCTCCGCCCCGCCGCGGTCTGCACCTGCCCAATCGGGCACGCGGCACACGAGGCCATCCCCGCCAAGCCTGCGAACTCGCCGGGCGGACACGGCGAGCAAGACGCGGAGCCTGGCGTGCCCGCGGCGGACCCCGCAGGGCATGGCTCGCAGGTTGCCTGCCCGCTCTGATTCTGGAATTTCCCCAGCGCGCACGCGTCGCACTGATCCGCGCACCCGCCGCTCTCGCAAGAGAAGCCCGGCGGGCAGGCCAACTCGGAGTCTTGCCCTTCCAGTGGCTGGTAGTAGCCGGGGCTGGTGGCTTTGCAGCTGCTGACGTCGGGGTCCAGATACTGCCCTGGCGGGCACACCGGAGGCATGCCCAGCAACATGCCGTCGTTTCGGGGGTAGCCCAGCACCGTCCCAGTCCCGAACTTGACGCCCGCGGCGGCAGCACCACGCTCGACGAGCAGTGGCGTCTCGGAGGAGCTCGCGGTGTACATGTCCCACGTGGGGTGACCGATCAGCTCTGCGGCGTTTCCCGGCGCTGTCCGGTAGTTGACCACGGAGAAGTGGGAGCTGCGCTCCTGCCGCATGCCGTCGCGCCACTCGAACCCGATGGGCCCACCCGAGCCAAGACAAGTCCCGTAGAATTCCTTCACCGGGGTGTCGGCCAGGCCGTCGCCGTCCTTGTCGAGGCTCACATTCTCGCCATCGGTGTCTACGCCCTGGGTCAGAATGTGCAGCATCGCCATCAGCTTCTCTGGGGTAACCGAGTCCTTGTCGAAGCCCTGGGAGTGGTTCGCCTTGTGCAGGCGCACCCCAATGTCGAACGCGGCCGCGTAGGACACCACCGAGTCATACCCTAACGGGCCATACGCGCTGCATGCCTCAAAATCGTCTTTCACCTCGTGCCATGTAAAATGTGCCCTGTTCTCATTGTCAGAGCCTTCAGCGCCCATCATACCGCTGTGGCCGATGCTGGTGCTGCTGCACAGCACGTCCTGCTGCGTGCCGCAAATAGGTGACTGCTCGAAAGGAGTGTACACGAAGGATTCGTTCGCAAACCCGCCACCGTTCACGAACGGCTTCACGAACTCTGTCAGCGGCGGCACCATGCCGTACGCGGCCTGCCACGCCGCAGCTATCTCATGGCTGGGCAGCACCGCGAACGCTCCCTCGAAGTCCACCTCGCTAGTGCCAATAAATTCTGGGTGGACGACGATGTAGCCCTGGTCGCCGTCGGACAGGCCTCGGCTGTTCAGCGCCCTCATGATCTTCGAGTTCTGCGCCACCAGGCCGTTGAGCACGATGGTCCTGGTGCCAGAGGCAGCGAACTCGTCCATCAGGTCATCCAGGAGCACGTCGGTCTGGCTGGCGGAGGCGGCGGGCACCAGGCTGCTTGCGGTGGCGCAGGTCAGGCCGTACTTGGGGCAATACCCCAGGAGCGCGTCTCGCATGCCAATGGGAAAGCTGTCGTCGATGGTGACCACGAACACCTTGGAGATGCCCCACGACTGCAGCCACACGGCCACCATGTCCATCTTCAGCGAGTCTGGGGGACAGGTGCGCCAGAAGTTGGGGTACGCGCTGTTGCCAGACTTCTGGGACATGGCGGGGTTGGTGGCGTAGTTGCTCATGATGGGCACGTTGAAGCTGTCGAAGAACGAGCTGGTCTTCATGGTGGTGCCGCTGTACGATGGGCCCAAGATCCCGTGCACGGGCAAAATGTTCGTGGACGCGCCCGAAAAGTTGGACTCGTTCCACGGTGCCACTTCGGTGCCTGCCCAGCTCATGAGCGGAACCTGGGCTTCGGGCGTGGAGCCGACCAGCTTCAACCCAGCAGACAGCGCCGCCTTCGGCGGGGAATCCCCTGTTTCTTGCTCGGTCGCGTCCAACAGGACCAAGGACATGTCCCAGCCCTCGGACAAGTCCCCGATGGCCCTGCACCAATTCGAGTTCCGCTCGTTCACGTGCTTGATGGCCATGGACTGGTACGCGGTGTCCATGAAGCCGCAACTCTCCCCCAATCGTGTGATGTGGTCTACGCCGCCCAACCGCAGATTCGCCTTGTTGTAATACGCGGGGCCGTCGTTGACACCCAGCTTGGATCCCTCCCCCGCCGCTGCCACCGCTACAGCGGCAGCCAACGCGAGCTTCGTGACGACAGGCATTGCCACGTTCGGGGCCACCGCCGAGCTAGCCAAGCGGGGGCTGGGTCGCCACAACTTGAGCTAAAACGCTTGAGCTAGAATGGCCACGGGGGCGGCGCGCAAGCATGGGACGCGGCGGCGTGCCTCCGACCCGAGCGCTTCTGATAAAAACAGGTTGCAGCACATCGTCTCACGAGTGGTGTGGCCAGAAGGCGCCCGCCACGGAGCTGATATTGGAAGACTCCTCCTCGCGCACGTCACCCCAAGGGGGGGGGGAAGGCACGCGCACACACACACACACACAAACACACAGCAGCAGTGGCACGTTGTGGCGCGGCGCCGCGAGAAGACGAAGGCCGAGGAGGGCCAGAGGCACAGCCCCCCTTGGAGGGAGCCAGACACACAGGACCCCGAGCGGCCCCTGCCTCGGCGGACTCGGCTGCGTGCTCACGCAGCTGCCTCTGCCCCTCCCGTCGCCACCGCCGTCGCCGGCCCCGGACCTTGACGAGACGCGCAGTGCCCCTGGCGATTGCCCTCCGTCCCGGCGGGGCCCGTGTCAAGCACTGAGACGAAGGCAGAATCGAGGCACCATCGGACCGACATGAGGCGGAAGTCTCTGGTCGGCGTTTTTCTTAGTCGGCGTTTCGACACTGGGCGGAAGGGGGGAGGAAAGGGGGGGAGTCTGGCTCCGGACCTCTGCTTGGTGCGGCTGTTTGCACCAGTGCGTCCTGTGGGGGACATTCCACCTGCTCGAAACAGGCGCCAAAAAAATCTACTCCATGGGGGGGGGAGGGGGGGGTGCGAGGGCCCGCGTCGATCGGCAAAACAATGAATAAAAAAGCCGTCCTGAGAACCGGCGTGCTTGGAAGATGTATCGGGCGCCGCGGCCGTTTCCGAGCGCTCCAGAACGCTCTGAGAGCGCTCCAGAACGCTCTGAGAGCGTTCCGGAACGCTCTGGGACGGTTTTTTTTTCTATTCTAGGCCCGTCCAGCGCAATGATCGAGTGGGGGACCGACCACAGAATTGATTGCACCCCCAAATTCACTTGTTCGTCGAATTCACGAGACATGCACAGCATGTCCGGGAATCCACGAACATCAAACGCACTGTCGCGCAGATCCGACGAGACAGCCAATTTTGGGGCAAACCCGTTCTGCTAGCGATCCCCTACTCTCCCCTACTCAAAATGAGGGGGAGGGAGGAGGAGGAGGAGGAGGAGGAGGAGGAGGAGGAGGAGGAGGAGGAGGAGGAGGAGGAGGAGGGGGAGGGGGAGGAGGAGGGGCGGGAGGAGGAGGCGGGAGGAGGAGGAGGCGGGAGGAGGAGGAGGCGGGAGGAGGAGGTGGGAGAGGAGGAGAAGGCTTTTGAAAGATGAGGAGTCCACTCTGGATGGAGTATTTCTCAAGGGGGGGGGCGATCGACCTTCCGACGGGGCACACATAGAGGCCGCCCAATTGGGTTTCGAGTGGCTGGGGTCGAAGCATCGCCGCCGCATCGCCGATGCATCGGTGACGTCGGCGTGGAGAACAATCGGGCTCCTCATCGAGCCGCCTCGTCGACGTGTTGGCGATGCGGCACGATCCTCCGACACCGCCTACCCAGACCCAATATGTGGAAGGCCTGGAACAGAGTGGGGCAGGGCCGGAGCAGAAAACCTCAGACTCGGGAAAACCGTAGGAATTCCTGGGGATCCCTGGGAATTCGTAAGGATCCCTAGGAATGCCTAAGGATTCCTAGGAATTCGTGAGGATCCCTAGGAATGCCTAAGGATTCCTAGGAACTCCTAGATACTCCTAGGAATGCCCAAGGATTCCTAGGAACTCCTGAGCGGCATCCGAGGCGGGCAGGCGCCGAGAGAACGCCGGCCGCCCAGGGCGCTGCTCGCCGGCGCTGCTCGCCCTCTTCCGAGGGGGGCCCTCCTCTGGGGCTTCTCGTCGCCACGGCTGGAGGCGCCTCGAAGCACGGGCCGGGAGGGCCCTCGCGAGGGTCCGGGGGCCGAGTCCTTCGCGGGTTCGGGCTGGGCGGGAGAGCGGCCGTCGTCTCAACGAGGCCCTGCTCCGGCGGAAGCTGCCCCGGACCGCGCCGCGTCGGCACCGAGGCGGAATCGAGCCGGGCTGGCCGCGCCAAGAGTCACGCCGATGCCGTTGCGAACATGGGGCCGCATCGGATCGTCGGAACCCACGCATCTGACGACGTCTTTTCCACACATGCTTGGTGGGGGTTCTGGCTTTCTCTCCCACCCGCGTCGCGCGGGCGTTCACCTGCGCCTCCTCCGCACCAATGTTGCATGCCCTTGCCAGTGTCACCGCATTGGGCACACACGCACACACACAAATGCACGCACGGAAGCACTCACGCACGCACTCGCGCACGCACGGCAGACGGCGGACGCAGACGCAGACGCAGACGCAGACCCAGACACACAAACACACAGACACACATAGACAAACACACACACAGACACACAGAGACACACAGAGACACACACAGAGACACACAGAGACGCACAGACACACAGACAGACACACGGAGACACAGAGGGACACACTGAGGCACACACAGGCACACAGAGGCACACAGAGGCACACACAGATGCACACACAGAGAGACACCCAGAGACACAAATATACAGACACACACACATACAGTCACGCACAGAGACACACACACACAGAGTCAAACACAGAGACACACACACACACATAGACACACCTACAGACACAGACAGACACGCAGAGACATACACAGAGACACACACAGGCACACACACACAGACGCACACACAGACACACCCACAGACCCACACAGAGACACACACACATAGAGACACACACACAGACACACAGGGACACAAACACACACACACAGAGACACACACAGAGACACACACACACACAGAGACAGACACAGTCACACATACACAGACACACGGGCACACACACACACACACCCACACAACGACACACTCACAGAAACACATACGCACTGACAAACAGACACACAGACACACCGAGACACACAGAGACACACAGAACACGCACACACAGACACGCACACACAGACACACTCACAGACACAAAGAGATACACAGAGACACACAGAGACACACGGACACACACACACAGACACACAGACACACACACAAACCCACACACACACATAGGCACACACAGAGACACACAGAGACACACATAAACACACTGAGACACACAGAGACACACAAACACAAACACACACAGACACAGAGAGGCACAGAGAGACACAAAGAGACACAGAGATATTCACAGAGACACCCAGATTCACATTGAGACGCACAAAGACACACAGAGACACACAGAAACACACACAGTTCTGTAGCCATGTTGGCTCAAGGCAATGCGTCACCCGACGACAGCGAGTCCGAAAGGCGTGCAGAGCGCGAGTGGTCGCGTTTTAAACCCTTGGAAAACGATTGCTATCTGGGCCGCCCTGGCCACCGTCTCCGTTTGGGCTACTGCACAAAATGGCGCCCGCACTCATTCCGTTGCAGTAAGAGAAACGAGATGGTGCCCTCTCCAGCGGCTCGTCGTGACCAGCAACGCTCCAAATGGTGCTGCAGATTTTGTACGGGACGAGATGGGAAACCGTTCGTCAACTACCCTGACAAGTTGACCTGTCAAAATCTGTTCGGCCTCTAAATGTGCAGCCTTCTTGTCCAAGCCATCGCCGAAGCAGCCTTCGACGAGCCTGTCAAACCGCGCTAAGAGCCAGCAGCCTGGGGCCATGGCCAAGCAGCTACTCGCAATGGAGAAGCGGTTGGCAGGCCTCACTGCAGAACTCAAGCAGGCCAAGGCCCAATCCTTGGCGAAGGACGTCGATGCGATGGAGGTCGAAGTCGCCTCGGACTCCAAGAAGCGTGCAACAGAACTTGACGGCCTCATCGAGACACTCTCTGCTATCCGTCCAGCTACGCCCGAGATCGAACAGGTTCTCCAAGGGTGCAAAGCTGAGCGTGTATCTCTCCGTGGCACCACCTTCGAGGCCAAACCTGATGGGGTCAAGCCCAAGGAGATTCGGCAGCGCACCACTGAGCTGGAGCCCCAGTTGCAGCGATGGCAGACCTCCCAGGACGCGCAGCGGAAGAATATCGCTGAGCTCCAACAAGAGCCCGAAGAGGAGGAGGAGGAGGAGGAGGAGGAATAGGAGGAGAAGGAGGAGGAGGAGGAGGAGGAGGAGGAGGAGGAGGAGGAGGAGGGTGAGAAGCAGATCCTGGCACCGCGCACCGCCCTTGGCGAGCTCCAGGCAAAAAGCGCACCAAGCTCTGTAGCCCGGCTGCCGCCCTCGCTCCCCCCCCCCCGCTCAGCCTCCTGCTACTGGCGACGCTGCGGATGGTCGGTGGGGCAGTCTCTCTAAGGTGGCCCAGGTCTTGGAGCAAATGGGACTGGCCTCTCTAAGATGGCCCAGGTCTTGGAGCAAATGGGACTGGCTACTGGCCTTCAGGAGAAGATGCAGGGCGCGGCGCAGGAGATCGAGGCCGAGGATGCCGAGCTCCAGGGGGCCAAGCGCCTCCAAGCTGAGCAGGAGCAGCAGGAGCGTGCTGCTCGGAAGGCTGCAGAGGGCGCACCCGTCGCCCAGGCAGCCCAGCAGCAAGCCGAGGCAGCCAAGGCCACTGATGATGAGGCCATCAACACAGCTACGGCAGAAGAGCTGCGCGAGTACCTCAAGCAGTGCGGCATGGAGGTGCTTGCAGGTGGCAACGATGATGATGATGCTGAGCTTCGCGCTGCTGTCAAGCGCATGCACGCAGTGCCCTCTTGGAAGGAAGCCAAGCGCTTCAGGGCACAGTGATCTGGTCGACGTCGTGATGATGCCGTTCTCAGTGTCGGTGCCTCCTGAGGGTCAACTCAGTGCAACGGCAGCGGAGTTCGTGCCAAACTCTTCCTGCCACGTGTCTCCCACTTTGGATGTTTCTCACGGCCTGGAGCGCCCTTGTGCGCATATCTGTTCTGATGAGAACACCCGTCCTGAATTCGAGTCCAACATGG